TGAATACAAAGTATATTTATATACATAAGATACGTAATCCGGCGTCGTTTTGGAGTTATGCCATGAGATGCTATGATATGAAATTATTTTCAAACTTACACTTCCTAAATGCCAAAATGTAAGTGTAAAATTTGTTTATTTACGTTTTAGAAAGCGTCAAGGCTTTCCTCTGAATAATTCATTGTAGCCTATTTTAGTGCTTCGCATATGGGTAGGATTCCGTCAGTCTTGGAAATAAATCGATAGCATTTTATCGTTGGTGTTGTTTAATTATAGTCTGTATACGTTCGTCCATAATTTAGACATTTTAAAACTAACTCTAAATAAGCTTCTGACAAAGTTTACATAGATATTTATATATCCAATATATGCAGAATGTTCAGAAATAACAAATAATTTCTAAACTAGAGCAATCAAATGCAACTGCATGACTGCATCTAAATTTAATGGACGTACTATCTCTTAATAATACGTAATATCTCTACGTAAATTAAATACGTAATATTTCTTGTTCCTACGAAAACCGACAATAGACATTACTTTTTGGGGGGAGGCTCTAGAACTCTATAATTCCCACTCTATTAGGTAAATATATTTAATCGCCATACAAAGAGAATAGGTTGCTGGTAAATAAATTAGTATTTGGCTAATTCTTAAACGAACAGTTTATAGAATAAGTGATTCCAAGGAGTTCTGATTCCTGTTGAAGCAAATAAAAAAAATCTCACAAATCCCACATAATAATACCTCATAATCGATGACTGCAAACAAAGCATTAATAATATTTCCTATTAGTTAAGTAGTATGCTGATCTACGAATTTATAGTTGTCGTGTTTTATCAATCAGTAATACTTTTAACTCTATTTATTTCCCAATTTTTCATCGCCTCAGATTCCCACAAAATTAATTTACTTTTCGATTCAACAACGTTTCTTGGCGGGTGATCAAAACGTCCCAGGACCGAAATAATAGAAAAAGTATTTTAGTTTTTCCATAGTATTTTTTGTGATGTCATACAATAGACTATGAAATGAAGTCACTGACATTTTCGTAATTAACTTCGTCTCAAGGATCTGGTGTGTTACTGAAATATAAATAAATCTGTATTTACGATAAATGAGGTGGATAAATGAACCTAGAGACGTGTATATTTGTCATTGGAAGCAGAGTTTTCTTAGGTCAATTATGACGTATAATGACGTGAATGCTGGGTGATAAATAAATTAGACATTAATGTGAAATAAAATGTGATGTTTCAGACATATCTATGTTGTATAGGTAGATAAACTTAAATTATAACGACCAAGTTAAAAAAAAATCTAACGTCTAACGAAGAATGCTGATGTACCATGTCGTCTACTTTAGCACATAATTTTTTTTTTCAATCTGGAGTATACTGATAATTTAATTTTTTTTATCATTTTGATATATAGTTTCAAATAAAAATGAACATCATTACTGCTTGATACCATCAATCTTCCATCCAAGACGTATTTTAGTATCGGAAAATTTTAGCTTTGTATATGACATTTGCAATATTAACTAAACAAATTTGACAATCATTAAATTAAATAAATGACAATAATTGCTGAAAATAAATAGCATTTTTAAAGTTTACATTCTTATGACAACATCTGGTCGTTTAATTAGCATCAATTAGAAAAAGTAAATAATTTTTTTTAAATTGCCGCATATGATATTATTGATGAGTAAATATACGATGTAAAGTGTTATTTTTATTTCTGACATTGATCATGGTGAAAATTAAAATAATTAATAAAAATTTTGCTAAATTAATAATATTACTGTTTTATATTTATTCTCAAATGGTTTATTCGACTTTATTAATAATCGAATCAGGAAAGTTTAATGCAAGATATTTTTTATTACCATTAAACACCACAGAGCTCAATAGGTTATTTTGAACTAAAAATATTTTTTTAAATTTACCATTGAAAGAATTTTTTCAAAACACTTAAACAACTACATGTTCTTCAAATTGTGTTTGCTATTGCATATCATAACATAGTATTTTACCAAGAGAGCAACCCAATGGTCAACCAATATTTATTTTTACTCATAGTGTTGGCTTATGTGTTGCAGCAATGCTCAAGAAAGGAAATTTTTACTTAAGTTTATATTTGAAATCTATAACTTCAAGTAAAAAATTGATATCACACTGCTTGATATCGAGCTGGCATTGAACCAGGTACTAGTTTGAGCTATGCCATGTTCTTAACCATTACACCAAAAATTGATATCACACTGCTTGATATCGAGCTGGCATTGAACCAGGTACTAGTTTGAGCTATGCCATGTTCTTAACCATTACACCAATGGCGGTGTTATAGAAGAAATTTAGTATTAAAATAAATTTCTTACACTCTGAGATGAGTAATTGATGATATTATAAGTAATTGGTAAATTTATTTAACATAATGGAAATTTATCTGATGTTCTGCCAACTATATTTTAAAATTAATTTGTATTATCCATTGAGTCCAACATAACTAGACAAAAGACCTAGTCTAGTATATGTAAATTCATTCCTTCACTATACAAAAAAAAAATTGGCTGTAAGTATGATGCAGCAATGCCCCCAAAAAGATCTTATTTGAGTTTTAAGATCTGAAGTGAAAATCTGGTATAATACTGCTTGATACTGCTGTAGGGATACATGGTTAAAAATGGTTTCCTATGAAAATAATTCTATTATTGTATGATTATTTCCTATAATAATCTTAAATTTTGTTCTTTTGTCCATCATACAAATTTAGTATTACATTGTTGCAATTTTTACATGCATTATTTACTAATTCAAATACCATTTCAAAATGTTACAACAATTTAACATTGCGTCAGTAATTAAAATAAACACTTCAAAATTCAATAACTAATTATGCATACAAGTTGCTTATTTACAATATTTTAAATGTATTTCGAATGCATTCTAAATAAATCAATCGACTATGACGTTTATGTGGTGCGTACATGAAAATAAACGATTATGTATATTAATAAAGTATAAATAATTCGTTCATTAGAAACCATTATGATAAAATATGCAAGGTGAGCCTTGAAAAGAAAACAAAATATTTTTGCTAGAGTATAATTTGACAAGTATTTTTTTGAAATTTTTTAAATGTTATAATATTGTTTATTCAAAATACAACAAAAAAATTCTTTGTATAATTGGAATAGTTTTTGAAAAAAATATTTAATTTGATGCTGATAAGGATTTTGGGAGAATAGATATATATTTGAGTAAGTTTATGTTGAGATTTTAAATATATAATTTTAATAACATGCAAGGTGTCCCAGAATTAAACGTCAAAGAACGGAGTTATAGTATAGATTTATAAATGACATTTATACTATGATGCTTGATTTGATCTATGAATTTTAATTTTTTTATCTATTCTGAAATCAAAATTCATTAATTTATAAATTAATGTATGATCTATAATTTTGTAATTTAAAAATGATTATAAATATTATAATTGTTTTTTTTTATAAAAACCACAAAACTGCTCGTTACGTCTCTAACAAAATGGCTAACAATTTCATATGTGCAAATTAATCATTTTTTGACTTAATTTGTGTGTTAAAATCAGCCAATTCGCTTGTTTTAAGTCAACAAAATTGCTTAAAATTAAATTGTTTGAAGTAAAAATCTAATAAAAAACAATATTCAAAACACTCCGTGGGTACTTGTTATAATTATCTAAAAAAAATCCTATGCGTGAGGTGGAACAAAAAATGTAAGTGAACTGATAAAAATACTTGAGATGATATTTTTATCACGTTACATAATTTGGTTTCTCTTGAACATATTGTCTAAGGTTATTGTTGGGTATCTCTTGGAAAATGCAAGTTTAAATCTTCAAGTTAACTTAAATACAGATATTGATACTAGAGATTCATTTTGTTCTTTGCTTGGAAATGGCAATACTACCTGTCTTTTATAAATTTAACTGCAATTCTATCTGTTTTCGATGTTAATTGTTTCTAAAATCTTATGAAACGGAAAAAACAGATTATAAATTACTATTCAACTAATACCAAAAATAAATCTAATTAGTCGTGTCTAATGTTGGTTAAATTTCAAAATATTTTATATGAAAACCTACCACGCACAGGTACCAAAAATAAATAATTACCGTCATTGTATTATTTCTGTTCCTCCAACAAATGCATGTATAAATTAATAGGTAGTAACCAAATTAACAAATTATTACGATTATAAATTTATTTTGTAAAATTTGGCAAAACTAAAATTTTATTAATCAGACACCTGCTGCATTTAAATTCCAATTTAACTTTGCCAAATGTAAATATGCACATTTAGATATTTTATGATCTGGTTTAAACAAACTAAATGCAATTAGCTACATTGTTTCAACAAGATAAACGAGTCTAGTTTTGGCAAACAATGAATAAAATGGTAGGAAGATAGAAATATTCGAAGGAAAATAAATTAGAAATTTGTTAGAAGATATATTTAGATTTATTTTGATTAATGGGTACAGGTAAACTACTTTAACTGATTTCAGTATGTAAGGTCAACATCAAGTTGGGAAATTTGCCTTAAGGGGGCGTGCATTAATCACGAGAGACTTTTAAGGGGAGGAAAGGGAGCTAGATAAAAAATCCTGAAAAATCACGTGGAAGGGGAAGGGCTCTAGTAGATATCACGTGTATTTATTTCTGACCTAAATTTTCAAAAAGAAAAAAATTGCTATTTTTTCGTAAATTCGAAAAATTCGTTCAAAAAAATTTAACTAAAAATACACGTGATGTTTGCTGGACAGCTCCAAAAATTCCTAAAAAATCGATCATGTGATCAATGAACGCCTTCTAAGGTGCAATGCCACACATGACAAGGTTTTGCTTATTTTGACGTTCAACATATCATCATAGTTTTGTAAATAAATAGCATTATTAATTCCAGATAACACTCCAAAAGTCCAAATAATTCACCAAAATGCAGTTTTTGGACATGACCCTAGAGCCGACGATGGAGGCGCGAATCAAGCAAAGATACGCGATGCAAGTGATGCAACTTGTTAACAAACTGCATTTTACACCAGAAGAATTGGACGTGCTCGTTATTATTTACCATAAAATAGTCAAAAGCAAAGAAGGCATTGATAAGAGCAATGAGATGCACAAGAATCAATTTAGACAGGTAGTATAAAAAAGAGTTACAGTTTGGCCACCAATTAGTTCTACTCCTGATAGTCCAGTCATTTAAGCTTAAATTAGGTAAGAATCTCGGAATTGGAGACACCCAGCTATAAATCTGTAAATACTTGTATTTTGCACCCTAAAAGTTATCTCAAAACCTACATATGGTAGGATGTACGCAACATATGTAAGTTCTGAGACAACTTTAGGGTGCAAAATACAAGTATTTACAGACTTACAGCTGGGTATCTCGAATTCCGAGGTGAACTTACTATAATGACTGGACTATGATATCAAAGTATATATAGTAGGATAAATGCTGGGTACGGTTGTGACAGTCGTCATGCCAAAGCAATACCGATTTTGATAGAAGGAAAAAGATGGAGTATGTTTGTTCGAACAAGTTTCCATTGCTAATGCTTAAATTACTATCCAATTTACTTTTCATCCTGATAACTGGTATATCAACAAAATTATTGCTGATCCAAAAAGTGGCACGACCGTACCCTGTCTATTCTATTGCTTATAATAAAATATGTGAGGATGCATCCATTAATCAATGAGGCTTTTAGGGGTAAAGGGGGGGGGGGGTGTTGACAAAAAATCATGCGTAGGGGAGGAAGAAAAATAACTTTTGAAAAAAATCCAAACATTTACAAAAAAATCAAATTTTACGATTCGAAAAATTCGTTCGAAAAGTTTTACGTAATGTTTGGTGTTGTTTGTTGAGAGAGGGGGAAGGGTTAATTTCAAATATCACCACGTATTACCAAGGGGTAGAAAGAACCAAAAATCCCTAGAAACTCATTCACGTGATTAATGGACGCCCCCTAAGGAAGTCTAATATCGAACCCATGCTCTGGCACATAGTTGGCCTTTGTTCGAGAATAAATTTCACTCTTATTTTTTGTTCTAGTTTATGTACTGTGTCTGCGATATGACCGACGATTTGCTAACAGAACGAATATTCGCAACGCTCGACAAAACTTTGAGCAACTACACGTCCTTTGAAACTTTTGCCAGTGCTTTGTCCCTTTGGCTTCGAGGAACCAGAGACGAAAAAATCAACTATTGCTTCTCAGTGTACGACACTTTGGGTGACGGATTTATACGCCGAGAAACTCTCTTTGCCTTGCTCAGGGATAGTATCATAAAACCGTCGGATGATGAAGCAGATGAAGGGGTTAGTAGAAATATTTATTATTTTATAATAATTCTACTCCTGGTAAATTCTATAATGGACGTTTCTACTAACATCAAATCATGACACAAAATGCAAACACATTCAGACAATCATAAAAGCCACTTGGAGGATCATCCAAGTCCACTTGCTAAAAAACTCCTTATTACCATGTTACATTAAATTTAATTTGCCACTTTGCAAAATCTCTGATAATGACAACGAATTTCAATTTGCTAATATACACTGAACTTGGTGCATACCATCCTCATAAACTATATTAGAAATTATTCCAGTTATATAACTTCCCAAAAATAAAACCGAATACCTAATTAAATTCACTGCTGCCTCTAATTACCGAGTTCTGACAATATTATTTTAATCCGTCCAAACTTGATAATTAAAATGGCCCTGGAACGCAGTTGCAGAGATAAAATATAATTCTGTAAACCGATTTGCTTTAATAATACACTGTGTTCTAAAACCAAAATTGTATTTATCTCTCTGTGACATAGGCCTATTAAATTTCACAGTAGAGACAGCCGTGCTCATGACGAGCAGGAAATATTCTATTTCAGTCGCGACATCTCATATTGTACAACATGGGTAATTAAACTTAATGTGTATTTTGAAAATTAATAAATCCAACAAGAGTAACTTCCATACAAAAGCAAATAAATTGGGATCAAGTGATACGAGATATCATGTTTCTAAGATTTCTTGAAAATTGTAATCCAACGGCAATTTATATTTGTATTTTAAAATGTGACCCTGAATTCAATTTTATGGTAATAAAACAAAATTTGGTGCTTTCTTATTGACTGCAAAATTGCTATTGTATTGAAGAACTTTTCTCAATATCGTCATAACTTCACTCAATACCATTTTCACTCAAAAATACAAATCAGAATATGTTACCAAGTTAGAACAACCCTTCCCACAATTACTACACAATATTAAAAAAAAATCGTCATTACTGAGTTGACCAACAGTTTGCATTAAAACAACCATTGTAAATAATCTTAACAGCTTACAGAATAGCAACATTCTGATTGCTGTTTCCAAAATAAAATTTGAAAAAAAAAACTTAAATGTAGATATGTGATGCAGATGCATATGAAGAGAACCCACAAATCAGAATTGATCCAAAAACTTTCATTCTGTAGAACTTTATTTGAAAATTACCATCTACTAGTCTACCTTGAAAGTTGATAATTTTCAGAATATGTTTTCTTTATAGATTTTTTTAATTTATTCTAGGTTCGTGATTTGGTAGACATAATAATGAAGAGAATGGATCTGGATCGTGATGGATTTATTTCGTTCGATGACTACAAATCGTCAGTTTATCGATCACCTTTATTAATGCAGGTAATTTTGATACTAATCTGAGATAAACTGAATTGTTTTATATATAATCTATCAAAATTTTCCAGGTAATGGGTGAATGCATTCCAAAACGAAATGCCTTGTTTGCTTTCGTATCAAGTTGCTTCGAAAACAGAGGAGAAATGTAAATTTGAGATGAACTTACAAAATCGATCTTCGATAACAGCTTCAGTAAACAATTTTTAAAATAAGATAATAGAAAATAAGAAAATAGATTGTCAATAAAACTTTCTTTGGATAAATTTTTAATTTTTATCCTAATTAAATAATTTATTTAAATGTAACTTGGCATATGACTAGAGAGAGAAGTGACAATCAATTAACTAAAACATTTTCTTGGAAATTGTTCAGAGTTCAGATTTAGTCGTTTTGATAAACAACTAAACTGATCAACAATTCATATTAATAAGCATTTATTACTCTTAGCATATAATATCTCGTAAATATTAGATATTAAAGTTGCTAAAATAACAAGAAAATGTAATAAAGATCTCACAAATCGACAAGATTAGAAATTTATATTGTTTTTGCCAATTCTACGCGTATTTCGAATGTAATATATCATATTTCTATCAGGATTAAACTCAAAACAAATGAAACTTAATTTTAACCAAAAAAATAGCATTAGGTTTTACAAAAATATTATGATTAAAATAGTAAATTTTGCTTCATAATATCCGCTTGCTTTCCAAAACTTTTCGTAATTATACTCGTATGTAAAATTATTGCAACAAAATAAATGTAAATTAACAATAACAAAAATGAATGAATAATGTGAAAATAAATGCAAATTCCTCAATTCCAAAAAAAAATCAATAAATTGTAATTATTTTTAACATTTACAGCAAAACACTTCTAAGGTAATTAATAGTTTAGTATGTATAATTAAATATCCAATTTTCCACAGCAAGCCGATAAAACTAATTTAAAAAGTTCAAAGTTTATTTCGATTATAGCAGGTCGCAATTGTGTTGATTAGTTTTTGGTAAAAGTTGCATAATTAATAGTTAAAAAAACTATCAATTTAAAAAAAATCAATCATTGGTGATCAACTGCATTGATAGGAAATGCCACCTGCCTTAATATGTTATAAAGCCGATACCTATTGGTAAGGATCAATGATAACATTCAATGCCAACTTAAATTTCAAAATCATCAACCAGCATTTCATATGGTTTGAAAATAATATGTATACGACAAAACAAAGTTAGCAGTAAACTTTTTCTTAAAGCAAAATTTTAATCATCCATAACAGTTTTAATTCTCATTAAAATCGCCTATAATTTTGCACCTAACAAAAAAATTCTTCAAATTTCTAAGTCTGTTATGATAATGGTAGCAAATTTATTACTAAATTAATAGGTTTGAAATTATCTACGCACGTATCCATAAATCTCGAATGCAATATCATAAATTATATCATTGTCAGATCCTGAGAGCAAGTTGCCAAGATTTTTGTCTTTGCAGATGAGACAGATCCGTGTATATAAATATACCTTACCGGATCGCAGATATACGCAAGTCGAACGAACTAAAGCAGGCATGCCAAAATCCTTGAAAATGGCTAATGGAGATCAATTTTAATGGTAATATATTATATTGGTATATTTTGTTTCCAGAAAATAAGAGGGTTTCAAACCGGTTTTCCATTTTCAAACCATCAACCCACATCAATCTACATATCAGCAAAATATGACTGGCAATGTTTTATACGATGTGCAGCATTGTAGTCGAAACAAATTTCACATTTTTAATTCGTGCAAAACTATTTTTACCACTTTTTTTTCTTTTAGAACAGAGTTTTTTACAAGAGAGTATGACTTGTTCTGATGATACTTCTCGACTAAGTGGCTATTTAGAAGGCAGACCAATGGTTGTCTAATTCACTTGATATAATTTTTATCAAAAGCCAGCTTCTTGGTTATCATTTTTCTAATGATGATGATATATTTTAACTTATTGCAACAATACTATAGGGTCTAGAATAGACAGATTTTTAATTCGTGCAAAACAATTTTTACCACTTTTTTGTTCTTTGAGCAGCAAGCAGAACCGAGTTGGATGACCTGTTCTGATGATACTTCTCAACTAAGTGGCTATTTAGAAGGCGAACCAATGGTTGTCCTATCTACTTGATATAATTTTTATCAAAAACCAACTTCTTGGTTATCATTTTTCTAATAATGATGATATGTTTTAACATATTGTGACAATACCGAGAAGGACTATTTTAACTTGGATACTACATATTTTCATGTCAATTTTAAAGTAAAAATGAATTTGGCAACTGCTTGATACCAAGAAGTCCAAAATTCACATTTTTCCCTAGGATACCAACCACCACGATGATCTAAAATAACTATCACTTTCAGCTGTATGATAAGAAATATAATTTTTTAAGAAGATTCATTAATAAGTAACTAGTGAACAAAATAATAAGTAATTTCTGGCATTGATATGATATCTGTTTATTATATTGTTTATACTATTTGGAATAAAATATTATATTTGATTTTGATATTTGGAAGAAATGTACCTATACCTACTTTATTATGAAATAAATTTCAATATATGGTGCGAAACTTTAGCAGTTATTTGATGCCAAAAAGAGCTCGATAAAGGTCTATTTTAAATATTAGCTCAGTACTCATATAGAACTCATAAATATTTGGAATTGTTATATAAAAAGACAGGGTAGTATAAATATATGGCTTTAATATTGTCTTTATTTTTATACTCTCACACATTATTCCTGTCATAACCTTACCATTTATGAAATAAGTTGGAAATTTAGTATGAATTTTACATATTTTATGGTCTATTCCAACTTGGATTAGACCATAAAATATGTAAAATTTACTTTGACCCCATAAAGCACATAAAATAATTGCACTCTTGCAAAAATCTAGTTTTCTTACCAAAATAACTAAAATTGTGAAATCGCACATGTATCAAAAAAACTTCAAAAAATTGGTCGTATCTAATTGTTAAATCGGTTTATGAGAATAAAACTTCTCAGGTGCAACTTAGAGTTTCTAATCTCGAAAAAAATGTTAAAGATTAAATTAAAAACAAAATACGGTAAAATCTATCTTAGAATGAAATATATTGAAAAAAACTTCAAAGTTGGAACTCCAAAGAACATACAGAATTTATGATTCTTTTGGAGTTCAATACAGGAAATGTGGATTAAGCCAAAATTTTGCATGAATAAAGTAGCATAATTATTTTTTTTTGCATAGTTTTATTGTCAATCAAAATAAAATACTTTTTTTAAGACAATATGATGTTGGTGTTAATGCATTTAAGAGATTATCTCCTATGACATATCTCTCTTTCTTTTCATTATTGACATTTTATTAAGATCGTATGGCCATTTTTTTTTCAATCTTCGTGTGGGATATTCCTCGCTTAACTCTTTTAAATAAATGTTTGGGTGACATGGTAGTTTTTCGTGGTATTTTTTGCTCCTTTCTTTTATCATCTCATTAATAGTTTTTATTTTTAGGTCTTTATGTGGGGTGTCATTTGTAACATACCAGGGTGCGTTCACAATGCATCTTAAAATTTTCGATTGCGCTACTTGTATTTTTTATATTTGAATTGCTTGCGCACGCCCATAGCTCAATGCCGTATGTCCAGATTGGGATAATTATTGTTTTATATAAAAGGAGTTTGTTTTCATAGCACATATTTGAACTCCTGCCAATTAGCAAATACAACTCTTTGAACTTCTTCTCCATCTGTTTTCTTTTCATTTTGATGTGCGTTGACCAGCTTAACTTTCTATCGAGATGAATCCCAAGGTATTTTACACTCTCATATTTCGGTATTTCTATGTTGGCATAAATTTAAATAAAATAAAACAAGCGACAGAACAATATTGCTATCTAATAAATGAAACAGAAATTATACTATTGCATGACCGCATGACTAATATTGTGATAAACATTTTCATGGTGAAAATGATTTAAGAATTTCTTTATAGATCAAAGTATAATATAAATTTAAAATACCTAAGTCAGAAAATTTAACAAAATCAGTGGATATTGTGGAGAAAATTAAATGCTACGAGATCTCTAAGAAGAATTTGGAGATCTCTGAATGACAACAAATCGACTAGCATGCCAAGTATGTCGTCGTCTAACTTTAAGATCGTCTCGACGCCTCCTGATTTTATGGCTCAAAAATAAACTCGACGCACAAGAATTTCAAACGAAGGCACGCATGACAAATATTGCAATGGTCTGCTCTCTGCCGGCACGCTCCTTGTCATATGACAACCGTTTAAAAATACATACTTATTCTTATATATGAATGCTTAATGTAATTATATCGTCAGCCAAGATCACCTAACACACGGATGTAAAAAAACATAGGAGTTTTGGGACCAAAACACTTTGGTAGTGGGAATAAATGAAGTTTTGTTTTGGAGACAGGGTCATTAAGGCTGATAAGTTAACCTGGGGATTATTTCGATTGCCATTAGGGAAATTGATCGACCAGTAGATGGATTCCTCGTTTTTTTCTGGAAATCAACTTCAAGATTATGATAAACCTGTAGGCAAACATACATATAATATATTTATTTATTTATTTACACTACATGTAATGTACATGTAATATTGTCACAATACAAGTGATGAGTGAAAAGTGAATTGTATTCGATAATGGGTCTGGGTTTATACCCTAACCTTAACAACGTGGATTTTTTTTATTGTCATGATACCATTGGTTGCCATTCCTATGGTGGTTAATTGGAGGGTCGCTACAAATCATTTGATTTTTATAATATTTCTTTAATCTCATACATATATTCAAAATAATCAATAAAAATATGCTAGTTAATACAAAAGTGTTCCAAAAATATAGTTAGAAAGACTCAAACATTTTTCACATATAATAAAATTATTATAATACAAAAGACGAAATATTGTGGTAAATCGGTCAGATCGTCCTAATGGCAATAGTCTAGCTTTCTGATCTCAAAATTCTGGGTTTAA